ATGAACCAACCACACTTCCCAAGGCGACAAACAATAACATGTTTAAATCTTTGAAGGTTTCTTAGAAACCAGATCACAGAATAAGGCTATGGGGGAAACCCACCACATTGCAAAACATATACACCGCAACTTCAAAGAAAATATGCGTAGATTAAATGAAATAATATTGATGATCGCGTCCGAGCGAAATTTTTGCGTATATAATAATTTTCAAAATATTAATTAATGCACTGATCACGAAATTCATTTATTGTGCAATCCCCCTGCGGACGTCTATGCACTGCTTAACGCCTAGCTCAAAGCCCACCGTACGTGTTTTGACACTCATGGGTCGTAGGGCCTGGTAGCTAGCAGACCAATCGCAAGAAACTGGTGAACATTTCGCGTGTGCAGGACCAAAAATCTCTACGGCCAGTCTACGATCATCTACAGTGCCGAGCACACGCAAGTGAGACGTAACTCTGACAAACTGGTTTAGACTGCCCGTAGTAGCGCGTACGGCGGATTTTGAGCCAGGGCACACTAGCCGAACGATTCGGCCGAATGATTCGCCCGAATCAAACAGGTTTGATATATTCGGCCGAATTATATACGCCTGGTGTGTCCGCTTCGCCGAAGCATTCGGCCGAATATAGAATTCATTAGCCAATCACCACTATCGAGAAATCACGTGATAGATTGAAGACATAGACGCCGCCATGTTTAATCATATTTGACGTGAAAGGTGATGCAATCGACAGGTTGAATCGGGCGAAGCATTCGGCTAGTGTGTCCACCCATTCGGCCGAATAAAATTCGGCGCCGATTGGTTCGGCCGAACCAGAGGCGGATTTAAGGGGGGGGGGGGCGACCCCCTAATTTTCGATAGTGCCCTTTTTTACTGCTGAAAGTGCCCTTTCTCAGACCCAAATATGTCCGTTCCCAACCCGTTGCAGGGATCCCAAATGACTCAAACCATCGATTCAAACACACCAGTCTTGTCTAATTAATGCTTCCACTTTCAAACGAATTCTTGTTGTTTAGCTGACGGTGCCCTAATCCTATAGAGTGACTATAGACAGACATCTTGTGGAATCGGCGGCGTATACACTCATGCCCATCACCGACGCGCATGAGTGCAACTTGATGTAGCATTGTTTCATGTGTGGACAGTACAAAGTACAAGTTAGTGAAGTGGCTAGGGAATAGATTCGTCTTTTTTCCCATCATAATGCCTCGCTCGCCTTGACAATTTTCGAGTCGCATGTTCAACTGGCTTTTTTGCTCGATTTTAAGGCTCTTTTTCAACGATTTCCGAACGTTTACTTAGACGAAAATATCAGCCAAATAGCTCTTGGAATGGCTGCAGATGCAAGGAAATGACGGATAATTTTCTTGCGCCCGCCCCCCCCCCAAAAAAAAAAAAATAAAAAAATCCCCTCTCAGCGGCGTGCCCCGTCTTCGCGGTCAGTGCCCTCATTTTGCGCCCCCCCCCCTTTTCAAAATTCCTAGATCCGCCCCTGCGAACGATTCGGCTAATGTGTCCACTGCTTAAAGTTAGCGTTTTAAACAGCACTGGAAGTAAAATTGGGCGAATCGTTCTGCACAGACTACTAGATAGGCCACGTATGAACACAGACTGACTCAGGCCACCCATTTTTGCACTACTTAATAAGCCACATATGATACAGTTTCCGCTTTATTCAGCATCAAAAGTTGTTTTGGGTTGAGATGTCAAAACAAGCTCTTGTGTTGTCTAGGGTTTGATGCATCCATGTAAAGACCAACCCACAGTCCTACTTCACGAGTAAAGGCTAACCCACAGTCCTACTTCACGAGTAAAGGCTAACCCACAGTACTACACATTAGTAAAGGCTAACTCACAGTCCTACTCGCGAGTAAAGGCTAACCCACAGTCCTACTCGGAAGTAAAGGCCAACCCACAGTCCTACAAACTAGTAAAGACCAACCCGCAGTCCTACTCACGTGTAAAGGCTAACCAGTCCACGAGTAAAGGCCAACCCACAGTCCTACTCACGAGTAAAGGCTAAACCACAGTCATACTCGCGAGTAAAGGCCAACCCAGAGTCCTACTCACGTGTAAAGGCTAACCAGTCCAGGAGTAAAGGCCAACCCACAGCCCTACTCACGAGTAAAGGCTAACCCACAGTCCTACTTGACGAGTAACGGCTAACCCACAGTCATACTTGACGAGTAAAGGCTAACCCACAGTCCTACTTGACGAGTAAAGGCTAACCCACAGTCCTACTCACGAGTAAAGACCAACCCACAGTCCTACTCACGTGTAAAGGCTAGCCAGTCCACGAGTAAAGGCTAACTCACAGTCCTACGCGAGTAAAGGCTAACCCACAGTCATACTCGCGATTAAAGGGCAACCCACAGTCCTACTCACGAGTAAAGGGCAACCCACAGTCCTACTCACGAGTAAAGGCTAACCCACAGTCATACTCACGAGTATGTTATCCGAGATTTCGTTGTAATAAGAGTGTTGTTAGTGCAGTCTTGCTACTGATTATAAAAAAACAGACTTTCGTTAATACGGTCGAAAGCTGAGAGGGGGACAGACAGAGATGGGGTTTAACGTCCACTGGCACAGACTAGGTCATTTCGGGACTAACATAATATGGTCCGATTTTATTTCAACAATTCGCATGCGCGTTGGGCGCTTTAGCAGTAGGAGGAAACCATAGGACCCGGAGAAAGCCTACGAGGTTGGACAGGCAATCCTTCTCATTGTCACATACAAGCGGGGAATCGAAACCACGCCAGTTGACTCAATGACAGACCTTATGATACGCGTTAACCATCCAGCCACCCCTTCTTAATAACCGTTGATGACACCCTTAAACAGCGATCTTTATGTGGTTGGATATTGTCAACACCTGTGTTCTGTGTATGAGTGAATCTTAAACTCCCGAACATCCAGAGTTGAAGAAGCTAAAATAGAAAATATGTTTTACGGCTTGTGTTTCTTTGTTCGGCACCTGCTACCTTCAAATTATGACGTAAGGGTTATCTAGCATGTGTTCATGTCAACCCCGAGACATGAGCCAACATCAAAGACCATTTATCTAATGCCCGCCAATAAATTTTTAAAACTGTATAATCTAAATAATGCTTCCTGACTTCATATCAACATGTAAGCCAACAAATGGTACCATCTGATACGCTTCATATATATATTATACATGTTCTCACCTTGTCTGGTGTAAAACAATCTATTAAGGCCCCTGGGTACATGTAGATCAACCAGAAAATCGTTTATAAAGCTAAAAATAAAATATTATAATAGACAAGGAGTGAGAAATAAACAAACACAAAGGAAGCTACTCTGTGCACAGAGATCCATGTACTTCATACTTCGAGAATAGATCTCTGCCCTAAATAACCGCCATTTAGTATACTGTTTTGTAATGCGGTTCTATCCCGTTTCACATCTGTCATACATAGAAAGAGAGGGAGAGAAATGGGGTTTAACGTCCACTCGACACAAACTAGGTCATTTTGCGACTAACATATGGTTTAATTTCATTTCAATAATTCGCTTGCGCGTAGTGGTCTTTAGCAGTGGGAGGAAACCGGAGGACCCGGAGAAAACCCACGAGGTTGGACAGGCGACCCTACTCCTTGTCACGTACAACCGGGGATTCGAAACCACGCCAGTTGATTCAATGACAGACCGTATGATACAGCGCAGCACGCATATGCTAACCATTCGGCCATCCAACCCCCGTCATACATAAAAAGACTAAATACATTTTACAGTTTTATTAAATAGAAACTTAATAAATACATAACAAAATGCTCAAAGTGTACTCAGTGTTTTGGACTAAAATCGTCGATTTAGGACTTAAAATGTCGGTCAACTAGCTTAGTGCCTGTTCTCAAGCGGGGCTAACTGTAGACAACCAGCCTACGTTTAGTATGAAAGGAAGCAAGAACAAATAAGTTGTTAACACTATTACAGATCGACGCCCCTTGTAACATCGTTGATAAGAATATGTCTTCATGGAAAGGAGGATAGATGGCCGAATGGTTAGCGTGTGTGCGTTGTATCATAAGGTCTGTCAACTGGCGAGGTTTCGATTCCCCGGTTGTATGTGGCAAGGTGTAGCGTCCCCAGTCCAATCTCGTGGGTTTTCTCCAGGTCCTACGGTTTCCGGCAAGTAAATTATTGAGATAAAGTTGTTTTTTTTATAAGCAATATTTTATTCAGATTTGTATCTGAATAGGGATTGGGGAACAGGCATAGCCTATATTAAACCACTCTAACTGAGATAAAGTTGAACCATATGTTAGTCCCGAAATGACCTAGTTTGTGTTGAGAGAACGTTAAACCCCCTCTCTCTCACTAACTGAAATGGGGTTGATCGTCACGTCAACACAATACTGAGGTTATTTTGAGACCGACATGTGGCTATTTTCAATGTTCAAATGTGCAATATTAGAAAGGAGAATTTTGGCCGGACAGTGGCGTTTGTTTCCTCCTACTCGTCATCGAATTACAACTGACGTATCATAAGACCTGTCATTGAGTCATCTGGCGTGGTTTCGAATCCCCGGTTGTACGTGACAAGGAGTAGGGTCGCCTGTCCAATCTCGTGGTTTTTCTCCGGGTCCTCCGGTTTCCTGCCACTGCTAAAGACCCCTACGCGCAAGCGAATTATTAAAATAAAATTGAACCATATATGTTAGTCTCGAAATGACCTAGTTTGTGTCCAGTGGACGTTAAACCCATCTCTCTCTCTCTCTCTCTACATGAGTAAACCTCGATTTTTCCTCCCGTTCGAACGACAAGACAAAAATCTCAACTGTAAAGGGTTTGTTTACGTTCACGCCAATGTTTTCGTCAAATCACTTGGCAACATCGTCCTTGTAACCTCTGTATGATCTACTTTAGACAAATGAAAACCGAGCTAGGAGATTTTTCTCCATGATTCGAACCCGGAATATTCTGGTCAATAATTAACAAGTTCGATCTTTTTCTGTTTCTATTGCAGCTCCACCTGGATTTAAGATTCAATTGGACTTCAGGGACCAGTTTGTTTTAGAAAAATCCGATGACTGTAAATACGATTACCTAGAAGTACGAGATGGTCCCTTTGCTTACTCTGATGTGATTGGACGATACTGTGATATTGCATTCCCAGAATTAATAGAATCATCATCGAGGTTCTTATGGATGAGGTTTAAAACGGATGACCTACTTCAATATGGCGGTTTTAGGGCCGTTTACTCCTACGTTAAAGATACAAGTGGTAAGACATTTAACCATTTCGCCATATTAGTCTACATGTGTGACTATAATCTTTAATGCCATTGTGCTTGATAACGATAAGAGGATACCTGTCGAAACGTCGTGATTTTAGAATAAAACTAGTGATTGTATCCCATACAAACTGTGTCCTGTTAATACATTTGTGACTGTCGTTGGTTTGTTGTCCGTTTGCTTGGGGTTGATGGCTGTACCAGGACAGTCCCCGTGCCGCAATTTGGGGTATAAGGGCAACCGGAGCCGGAGTGTGATATAGGCCTGGTTCAAAGTTATGTCACTTCCGTTTCATGGCTCTGTCCGTGCAACACCGGTTCAACCGCTAGTTCTCAATATTAGAGGATTGTATTATTTAATTTCTGGACTTTTCATTTTGAATTTGATAAGAAAAAAAATAAAGTTTCCAATGCTATTTCGATTCTGCAGACAATTCCCGATGAAACATGTTAGAATTTTTATAAAAGCATACTCTGTAAAAAAAAACTGTTTGTATATAAACATTTCGAGTGTGGATTTTATCACGAGTCAAAGCTGTTGATTGACGTTACTCTACACTAGAATGTCTGTTTTTAATTTCTCTTAATATCTATCTTTACAGCCCAGAAAGATGGCGGCCTTAATGGTAAGTATCACATTATGGTTTTAATCATATAAATCATATAAATATTTTAAAAATATATATATATAAATATTCTTTTCATGAATTACAGATTCTGTTCATGATCAAAAATAAAAAAAAGCCATGAATTAAGTATTCGTGACTTTATCAAGAGCAGATTAACATTTAGAAAAAAATATTTGCTTGATTATATTTACGTTATTATGGGAATTCACTGCTTTATAATGATAAGTCAAGTCTTTTAAATAGTTCTTTTCTGCAATTTAAACAAATCTGAAAAATTAATCAAAACATTTTTAAGCTGCATATATAAATACACTTCAATCAATCAGATACGATGAATTTATCATACGACCGATCATTATATTTTGGGTGTCTAATGATGTTATATTTATTGAGTGAAAATAATGAACATGTACAGAATGATAGTGCACGTTGATGGCGCCCCTTTACTGTTTAAGAATAAAGCGAGAATCGACAGGATTAATTTGTTTTTCCTTTAAAAATGAAAAATGTTATCACAGAAACAGAAGCAGGGTATTAAAGCTACAATTTGTCAGAATAAAGTTCTATATAAGTTTAAGGCCGTGTGTAATTAAATTTACTAGAAATAGGTGTCTATAGTTGTTTAGATGGGGCGAAAAACCACGATCCCCATCCTGCTTCGTGCACGTAAAAGAACCCTCTGAATGTTCCCTCATCTCAAAATGTACAGCTTATGTCCGACTCCATGTTAAACCCATTTGATTTCAGTTGACATAAATATCTGTCAACGATCTGAATTGTTCTGCTCCCACGAAAGCCACCATCATCCCTGTGATTAAATACTATAGAAATAGATGTTTTATATTATTTTAGGAGCTTCACCATCAACTTGTAGAAGTTATATAGAAGTTAAAAATAAGAATCGTGATGGTGTTCTATCATCAGATGATATACCATTCTGGGATACTGATGCACCAGGATATCCCAAACATAAACCTGTAGATTGTACCTGGGAAATACATACTATGAACGGGTTTGGGGTAAGTATACAAAATCTACATCAAACGTGATAGAGAGAGAGAGAGAGAGAGGGAGGGAGAGAGGGAGGGAGAGAGAGAGAGTTTAAAGTCCACTCGACACAAACTAGGTCATTGTGGGACTAATTTATGGATAGTTCAATTTTATATCACTAATTCGCTTGCGCGTAGGGGGTATTTAACAGTGGGAGGAAACCGGAGGACCCAGAGAAAACCCACGAGGTTGGACATGCGACCCTACTCCGTGTCACGTACAACAGGTGAATCGAAACCACGTCAGAAACGAATTATTACACCATTAGATATGTTTTATTACAGGAACAACTATTCAACGAATGCCCTGATAAAATACGATTATTCGTGTTCTAAAACTAATATTATTTATCCCCATCGTAAAAATGATTTATTTAATACAAATGTTATGAAATAAGAATTTATTTTACCTTGATAACCTGTGTGTAGCATAAAAATGTATAAAATAGATAATTATTGACAGTATCTTTTATCTTTAAACGTATGTAAACATACGGTTAGTGCTAAATGATAAGGTTAGCTCGTCATAGGTCACGACTTGTAAACAGGGCGAGCGCTAATCCCAACCCTAACCCTGGACCTAACCCTGGAAGACCATCAGCGCCACCAACATCAATAAACAGTGAAATCGCCTTTGTATATAAATCTAATGTATTGTATGTATTTTAATAAAACTAGGAAATATCACAACTAATTTTTCATCATCCTAGGTCAGTGCTTATGTGGAGACTTAACCTCTCCCCCAAATTCTTAAACCTAAACTATAATCTCGCCAACAACCACGTGCCCTAACCTTAGTTACATCTCAACGACCTTGACAAAAATTGAGCTGGCCTTAACAAATAGATTTAGCCGTAAACATACATTATAACTAATATGCAAAAACAAACCTAAAAATTTAGATATGGCATAAACTTTGGTTTTATCTTAACATTATGTGGCTTGGAAGTTAAAATGTTCAACATGCATTATGCAAGAGCTAAATCTGCCTATTGCAGGTCTTTCTTTAGGCCTGAAATGTTTTCTAAAGTATTAATTAGACATTAATTAAATGATCCAGGCCTTAATCAACTCTCGATGGCATCAGATTTCTCCGATATTAAATAGATTAAGAATGGTTCAGCGCTACTTTGATTTAATCAAATATGGAGGACCGAGACTTAGCTTCGATCAACCAGTACGGTGGTTGAAATTATTGCACACGTCTGTCAAACCTTCAAAGGCTAATTCGGGGGGTTGGATGGCTGAATGGTTAGCGTGCGCGCGCTGTATCATGAAGTCTGTCATTGAGTCGACTGGCGTGGTTTCGAATCCCCGGTTGTACGTGACAAGGAGTAGGGTCGCCTGTCCAACCTCGTGGGTTTTCTCCGGGTGCTCCGGTTTCCTCCCACTGCTAAAGACCCCTATGCGCAAGCGAATTGTTGAAATAAAATTAAACCATATGTTAGTCCCGAAATGACCTAGTTTGTGTCGAGTGGACGTTAAACCCCATTTCTCTCTCTCTCAAAGGCTAATTCATTTTACATCATCTACTTTCTAACTATTATAGCAAGAATGGCTAGTTCTTTATCTAAATCTTACATAATGTATCTTTAATTTTAAAAGATTAACATTAATAATTTTCATATAATACACATCCAGGGGCGCAGTCTGATTCAAATACAGATATATATTTCGTTTCGTTTTTTATACTTTCGATGGCCTCTACTACATGGAGATCTGACCAGTTGTAGTGGAAGGTCGCGTCACAGGTCATACGAGCGGCTTTTGACCCTATGACTTTAGACATTTGATTAACCAATCAGCGTTGATGTTTCTAGTGGTTGCATACAACTCACGCCAAAAATTCGCCGTAACAGACCGTTTCATTGGCTAATCCCACACATCAATAGAAACGCGGGTTATATAACAACTCGTCCAGATCATAGTATAGTAAAGACAAGTAAAAACAAATTTTGAACTATAAAAACGAAACGAAACAGGATCTGTGTTTTAATGAGATTGCCAGAAGCGTTGTCCAATACCTCTAGCAGCTGTAACATTTAGGGACTAAAACTTTTTATACGACCACGTGCTGGTAAAAAGAAGAATCATAGTGAATATCAACCATTTCTGATAATTATTTATATAGTTTCTGCCCTTGATTATGTCATAGAATCTTTTCAACACGCTGATGATATGACAAGTTAAAAGTTGTATCTTAAGATCTGTCATTGAGTCAAGTGGCGTGGTTTCGATTCTCGGCTTGTACATGACACGGAGTAGGTCGCCTGTCCAGCCTCTTGGGTTTTCTCCGGGTCCTCCGGTTTCCCCTTACTGCTAATATAAAGAACCATGCGTGCAAGCGAATTATTGAAATAGAGTTGAACCATATGATAGTCCCGAAATGATCTCTCTCTCTCTCTTTTTCTCTCTCTCTCTCTCTCTCTCTTTCTCTCATGTCTGTGTAATTTGTGCCTTGTCCACACGTTTGTCTTATGTGTTTTGTTCGCGTCCTCGCGCCCTTACCTTTAATACACAGATTATTTCTGTTATACAATCTTTGATGAGACGATATCAATAGACTTTATCTTATACAGTTTCACGCAACAGTGCTACGCAGGTTTTTTTTTAACAAATAAGTCTTCTGTCTTGGTAATTTTGCTCTTAGAATAGCCTTTAATTTTATAACTTCTTGTACATATCTTTGGAAGTATAACGTTGCCAAAAGTCTGAATATAGACAACGTTTCAAAATATATTTTTCAATGTTTCGATTCAAAATACTGATGTCCTAGCGTAAAAATGCCAAGTTAACTTTTTAAAATACCAAGTACAGATATGTAGGTCGACAATGCAAAGTGCATAATGCAGTCTGTAAAATGTAAAGTAGCTAATTCAAAGTTGTTTTATTCTTCAGAATCTAAGAGCTTAACAAATGTACTTTGTATTTTAAAAAGTATACTTTGCATTTTTACACCATGACATTAGTATTTTCAAACATTGAAAAATGTATTTTGAAACGCTGTCTATCTTCAGACTTTTGGCAACGTTATATTTCCATATATATCCAGACGTACATTTAACGAAAAATTACAGTGTTTTAGGATAAAAAACGAGACGACATCTTAACGATAAATAGAACATGCTTATTTAAGCTCAGCAAAATGATCAGTAGGGTTTGAAATGTAAAGCTGTGTTATTTTTTAATTTGTGTAAAAAGAAAACTTCCCAGGACCGTCTAGTCATGTCTTATATAAACATTTTTATTTTGACTTCATACATATAATTATATATAAGTATAAATTAGAATATTTCGTTCTCATGAGATATAGATATTATTATACATTCCTCTTGTAATTTATTCTATGTGTTCATTAAAGATATATTATGGGAGGAGAGAGAGAGAGAGAGAGAGAGAGAGGGGGAGAGAGAGAGGGGGGTTTAACGTCGACACAACCTAGGTCATTTCGGGACTAACATCAATTTTATTTCAATAAATCGCATGCTCATGAGCGTGTGTTCATTAAAGATACATTATGGGAGAATAGAGAGAGAGAGAGAGAGAGAGAGAGAGGGAGAGAGAGTTTAACGTCCACTCGACACAAACTAGGTCATTTCGGGACTAACACATGGTTCAATTTTATTTCAATCATTCGCTTGCGCGTAGGGTTCTTTAGCAGTGGGAGGAAACAGGAGGCCCGGAGAAAACCTACTCCTACAGGCGACCCTACTCCTTGTCACGTACAACCGGGGATTCGAAACCACGCCAGTGGACTCAATGACAGACTTTATGATACAGCGCACACATGCTAACCATTCAGCCATCCACCACCCCCCTTCCAGTTAGCGACAAGAGTTCAAACATCATTAAATTTTTGATTAAAGATACATTATGGGAGATGAGATAAGGAGCTGGCAGTTCTCACTATAATAGTTAAAAACTAGATAATGTAAAGGCAATTTGCTGAAAATTTCATTCAAATTGATCCACCCTGAAAATGTCGGTCAAATTGGCCCACTATGAACCTTGATTTAAGCGATTAAATTTTCGGCCTAGCCTCGATCATCATTACTAAAGTCGGTAGGATAAAAACATAGTCTCGATTATCCATTTCATGATTTAATTATGAATGGAAGTCGAACAGCAAATCGAAGACCTAATCCAATAAATACCGCAGGCTAGCGATGCCATCGAGAGTTGATTATGGCCTGGATAAGTTAATTAATGTCTAATTAATAATTTAGATAACATTTCAGGCCTAAAGAAAGACCTGCAATAGGCAGATTTAGCTCTTGCATAACGTTACAACTAAAATACGTGGGGTCACGGTGGCTAAGTCGATAAAACGATGGCTCGCTAGCCTGGAGGTCGGGTGTTCGATCCCTGCATTGGCCGAGAAAGTTCATTCAGATTTTCCGGCGTGGTTTCCCCTTGTCAGTGATGCAGGACGGAGGGCCTGACATGGAAAGCTGTCTAGTCGTTCGGATGGGACGAAAAACCGAGGCCCCGTGTACACATTGGCAGTTGGAATTAAGAGTAGGCCGTAGCGACACTGGCCGGGCAACATTTCCCTAATTGCACACTGTATGGCGTATGCCCGTCTTCATTAGCCCAGTTTAGGAGCAGAACAGTAGGACGTTAAACCCCATTTCGTTTCATTCCATTTACAACTAAAATACATGTATACAACCCCCTGATGTGATGATTTAATTTATCGAAATATATTTAAGTATTTAGTTAATGTTTCAAATTGATGACATTTTTGATAAAATGTTTATGAAATATATTTCCATTTTTTAAAATCAAATTAAGAAATTCTGGCGTTCCAATCATGCCTGACTCCTTTTTATTTTCTTTAAAAAAAACCCTAATTATTTAAAATATGGACAGTAATTAAATTATCAAGTGTAACTTGTTGAGCACTTAGTCTCCTCTTAAGCAATGTCGCTTTTTATTTATAAAAATGACACCAAATGTTTTATATTTTG